GATGGTGACTTCCAAAAGTGATCGATTTGGCGTGGAATGACTCAATAGCGTTAACAAGCATCATTTTTTCCATTTGTATTGACGCTTTAAAACACCTCGTAAATTTACTTGTCATCTGAAAATAAGTAAGTCTCAAAAAACATAAGGATATCATCAACGGCAAACACTAAAAAAAAACATAATTCAATTTTTTATGAAAATTGAAGGGATAAAATTCAAGTTGGAAATATGAAGAGCACGAAAGACAAAAATAGGAAGGAAAATGGAATATATAACTATAAAAAGATATCAATATTGGAAAAATATGGGAGATCCGAAAAAATGTTTCAGGCAAAATCTGTAAGTTTTTAAGGCAGACACAAAAGAGCCTCATTAATTACATTATGAACAGTTTTTTCCCTGCAGGTGATACGTTATCCAAAAAATACCGTTACAAAAGGACTGACGCCCGTCCTCGGTACCCTTCGAGAAAAACTCAGTTCATGATGGAAGTAGTTATTGAAGACGAAACGAAAGTTACAAATTCTAAAGGCATTGTCCGAAAAAATGTAAAACTAAATTGTCGGCGATAGCTAAATTCTGTTTTTCAAAAATAACTGTCAGTCCCGGACCCATCACAAACTACCTACGAAACCCCGCGTATTGTATTCCATGGCTAGTTTGGAACATGCAAAAAAGAAATGTACATGCGATAATTACAGTAGTTGCACATACCTGTAAATATCGAGTATTGTAAGCATCAATTGTAACAAAAGAATCAAGAGTTTAATTGTATGTACATGTACAATTCAACTAGATATCCCATAAGAAAAACGGTAAACAAACCTAAAGAATAAATCTGTGGAAAAAAGTATGACTAAAATATACAATAAAAATTTTTTATTTCTAGCGAAGTTTGCGAAAAAGTTGAGTTTGAACGTTTGTTCAAATACACGTATACAATTAAGCCCGTCCAAACGTTTGTTTAATAATATCTACATAAACACAAAGTGTTAGGTACGTTGCATATTAATTATATTAAAATAGTATTTCGTGATATTAAAATAAAAATATCTTCTAAATTAATGATTTTTCGTCATAAGTGACTTAATACTTTTGTGTAAAGTATAATGAATAGCTATATTGAATGGCTTATTAAGTGCCAACTTACCCTGAACTTCTTATTGTATTTCGTTCCCATTTGGGGACTTAAATTTTACATGTTCTATAATAACTGAATTAGACAGTATTAAAGACTGTGAGCATGTTGGTTCCCAATAAAAAAAAGTAAATAATATTTTCTAATAAAATGTTCTTTATTTCATGACAACACTCATTTTTAAGGAGACTAACAGTCATATGTATTTTTTAACTCGTCATAAAAATGTATACAATAGTAGTTACGAAATATATAATTTCACTTAAGAACACCAACTTCACCTTAATATCTTCTCTACATGTTCATTGTATAAGACAAAGCTATAATTACTCTCACGATCGGTTATATTCGTACACCACAGTCTCATCTTCCTAATTTTGGCTGGAAAATATACATATTGTATGAACTTGATGACTTTGTAATATGCGTTATAATATTCTTTCACAGCATATCGTATTTTACAAAATGAATAATTGCAACAACATCTATGACTACGTTTCCATCGAGGGTTCAAATCGGGTCAGAGTCGGGTTAGATTCGGGTTTGAGTCGCGGGTTGGAGTTGCGGCAGGGTTGAACATTACCAACTGCACAAAGTCAACTACCATATTCTGACATGTAAAGCTGAGCAATATTAATTTTACAATATCAAAATAACATACAAAAATTATTTCTCAGATTACAAGATCACCGACAAAAAGTAATAATAACCTCTTCTACACCGATTAATACAACACGTGATACACAATGCAATTTGGATTTGTTATGTTGGCAACACGAACTCGACTCTTGTCGTTTCCACCGAACCCAATTGAACGCTACCCTAAAATTTTGTAGGGTAGAGTTCAACTAAACCTTTGGTGTTTCCACCGTAAAAACGCTCACCCCAACCCGACTCTAACCCGACTCTGACCCGATTTG